TTTGTTGTTAACGTTTTCTTTTACTTATATACAAAGTTGACATTTACAAAAAAAACTGTTCGCTGTATATAGCATATAATACAACTTGTGACTCTTGTCGACAATTAATAAAAAACTTTATAATAATAGAAATTCACAACTTGTGACTAATATGTCATTAATAATTAGTATGCTAATTATTAATGACACACAACAATGAGGTTTGTTTTGGACCTAATGTTTTATTTACTACTTACAAAACAATAGCTTTAAGCACTTTGCATTTATTAATTAATTCTCCTAATATGAATACAGCTTTAAAACTTAGAGGTCAGGTTTCCCGAACTCTGTGGTAGATCCCAGAGAGGTTCTGAAAAAAATTTGAAATCTGCCTTAACTACATTGAGTAGACTCTTCTTCAACTTGTGGTCCAGACAATTTACATTTTGCAGTCTTACATAAGTGTTCTCTGGAGCTGTCATCCATACTTTCATAACTATTTAACATTATTAAATTAGTCTTGTTTTCTAAGCTGGAAAGTGGCATCTGTTATGACTCATCTTACTAACGTCCCATTAGTCTTCTTCCTATCATAAGCAAGGTTTTTGAAATTTTAATTAACAAACACTTAATTTGAAACTTTAATAAACAAAACTTAATTTTGAGTCTATTAACTTACTTTCTGATCATCAATATCTATTTCGATCTTCTTGTTCTAAAGCTGATTTGCTAACAGTTATAACAATAGATTTCATGGTGCATTAGATAGTGGTGAAGAGGTTAAGGCTATTGCTCTTGATATTTCTAAAACTTTTGATAAGTTAGGCTTGCTGGTCTGCTCCATAAGCTTTCTTATTATAGTATCTCTGGTAACATTTTTAAGAATATTATGTCCTTCCTTTCCAATCGTCGTATAAAACTTTTCCTAGTTGGACAGCACTCTTCTTCATATCCTGTAACTTTAGGGGTTCTTCAAAGTTCAATCCTAGGCTCTACACTCTTTTAATTTACATTAAAGATCTTCTAGATACTCTCATATCTAAGGTGCCATTTTTCGTTGATGACACCACCATTTATTTTGTCATCATAAGAAGCCAACACTCTTGAAAAGGATCTCACTTCTGCCACAGTATGGGCTCACAGTGGCTGGTGAACTTTAATTCAGATAAAACCTAACTTTTTTTAGCCATTGTTATTGCAATAACTTAGATCACTCTATATTTATAAACTGTTATGTATTCGACGATTCATCTACCCTTTATCTTGTAGGATTAACTTTTACTTCTGATTTTTCTTGGAAACCGTATATCAAATCCATAGCAAAATTAGCATCTGCTAAGGTTACATCACAAACTCGAAACTCTCGACACTTTCTTACTCCGAATTCTATTCTTTATCTCTATTAATCTCAAATCCATCTTTATATGGAAAACTGTTGCAACATTGGATCTTCCAATGATACCCTGCAGCCAAATTCCAATCATTATCACAAAGTTGTAACATCGCATTTCTTCCTCTTTTTTATAAATGGACTCTAAAGAGCTCTTATTGTTCCATCTACTAAAATTCACTCTTGTGATACTTGTCATTCAATTAAGGCTCATCTTTTTTCTGGGACTGTTCCTAAGTGCATCATAAACTCTTATTTGTTTAGTTTTTTTCCTCAAACATCAGTTTTATAGAATTCCCCTTCTTTTATCTTGCCTACCTGATTCATATAATTTGCATTCTTTTAAGTTGTCTGTCATTTTTTATCTTGCTCTACAAACTTCATCTTTTCTCTTGCTTGCACCCTTGTTGGAAACAAATATGTAAAATAAAAAAGATGCTTTCTTCAGATTTTGAACATTGCACACATTTTATTTCAATTGCCTTACAAATTTTTCTTTTGCTGTTGTTTGAAACAAGAAAAAGCATTTTAGGGTTCTCCTAGGTTATTTTACTATTACAATGTTCCGCTATTTCAAATGTATCCTAGTTGGCTTTTGTAACATAACTTTTATGCTTTTATGCAACACATGTGCAATAAAGCTAATACACCCCTGATAATTATTTTTCAGATTATTATTCAGAGGCAGTTGATCCTTATTACGCTAAAATATATTGATCAAGGGATTACCAAAACAAACGACAGTTTTAACGCCAACTTTAAAAAAAATTTTACGCAGAACTTGTCTTAATTTTAGGAGCTATAGTAAAATAACATGATTTTTGGTATTAATTTTTTGAGAATAAGATGGATTTGTAGAATTAACTTTTAGCAATATCTGAACATTGTTTATAGAATTGGTGATGATAAGATATGAAATGAAGAAAGAATTAACAGCTTACAACAAGATATATAGCCAAGTTATATATTCATGTTTGTAAACAATAATGGAATAATAAAGAGAAGGTGATAATAAAAAAATTAAAATGATTTCAAGTGATTCTATTGTTGATTACATTTCTTGAATTTTTTTTTAATCATTATCAGGCATTTTGGTTTGTCTTTTTTTTTTTTAAATTAATTAAAAATACTCATAAATAAAACTAAAAACAACAACACAAAAACAATATTGTTCAAACTTTTGAACCAAAAAGACAATAAAATCTGATTAATACAAACAAATAGAATATTTTTTTTAATACAATCTTTCAAATTTAATGTTATAATGTTTTTAATATTTTTTTTTTTTATTTACCTCCCCAAGGCGGAGAAGGTCATTACAGTTAAGGAGGCTACTTTTAGTATTTACAATCTTCTCTTAACTCTATAACTCCAAAACACGATCTTCAACGAACAAGGCAGCTGCGCAGATAAACAAGTTGATTTAGTTAGCGGAGAAATAAAAGCAAAAAACCTAATTAATACAAACAATTTAAACATCTTTTTTAATACAATTTTTAAAATGCTAATGTTATAATACTTTTTTTTTGTTTTTTTTTTTTTTGTTTTTCAAATCACAATTAAGTAGCCTCCTTGTCTGTAGTGGCCTTCTAAGCCTTGGGGAAAAACTGAAAAAAAAAAAAAAAAACACAAGTTGTATTAGTTGTATTATATTATTTTTTACTTTTTTTTGGTATTTACTTATTGAGTAAATTTATTAAGTATCAAACTTTTCAATATTTTTTATTTATTTGGACAAAGTGTTTAATGAACAGATTTTTTAAAATAAGTTTAATGAATAGATTTTTACCTCAAACATTTAATCAAAGTTCCGAAATCTGTATAACTATCGAGAGTATTGTTTAACTACTATTACAAAAAATTAATTTTATGTAATTATTTCTACTATAAAATTAACATCACATAATTTTAAAAATATGTATACATATATAAACATATAAATTTTACACATATTTTATTACCTAATTTTTTCTTGACTTGATAAGGTATCTAAAAAGTAAAAATTTAACATTTTTATTATGAAACCATTTTGATTATAAAAATTTGAATATTAAAAAATATTACTGAATATATATTGATTTGTTTAATAAAAGTTCTTCAGAATGGTTTGCATTATTAATTTTGTATAATGAAAACATTATGTTTTTGGTGATTTTATAGCTAATAGAAGTATAGACAAAATCATAAATTATATAAATAAAAAAATATATATATATATATATATATATATATATATATATATATATATATATATATATATATATATATATATATATATATATATATATATATATATATATATATATATATATATATATATATATATATATA